TCACAAACATGCACCCAAACCCTTGGAGCCCGTTGCAGTACAGGTTCAGACATTCACATGCTTACGAAACATTCACAAACACATGAAAACGAGTTCAAATACAAAAATGTAGTAATTTAGCTTTTTTTAGATCAAGTCGGAGCAAGTGCAATAATATCATGATTTAGTAGGTGCTAAATTATACCTATCGGTATAATCTTTTATGTATATCATTAAGTCTTGGGTATATTCATTCGATAAATAAAATCCTCAAAAATCTTCTCGAGGTTCGATGCTTGGCCTAATAAATATATGTTCTTTTCAAGGAGGTCCATCAAAAGCTCCTTTAACTTACAGTTCTCTGATGGAGGGTCTCATTCTTCTCTTTATAGCCTTTAAAGTGCTTTATTAATGGATTACTTGATTACCTAAATAGTTTGGTTCTTCTTCCCTAATCATTATTGTAATCTGTTACACAAAGTAGAAAACTTCTCTAAAATAATGATGCCTTCAATTATCTTCCTCTATATGTGCACTTTATTTTCCCCAATCTCTTTTTTTTTGGTTTTTTTCATCATTGAACATTATATGTTACGCACTCTTATATTGAATCTTAAGATGGGCTTTCCTTTGACTCCTACATGTTACCGCCAAGGCGCCAAGTAACAACTTATTTACTATGCTATTTGTAACAATTTGATTCTAAAATTTTATTTGAATTGGAGGGTTGTAGCATTGGGCTTGTGATAAAGCGTTTCTGGGCTTTCGGGAGCAGCGCCGGTAGAAATCGTTGCGGTGACATTGAAGTCTCTGTTCTACAAAATTTTAGATTTACATGTTGTGTTGCGGCGCAATGCATTAAATATTATATATATTTTTTGAAAGACATATATATATATATATATATATATATATATATATATCTCTCTCACGCTATCAGGAAGGAGGGAAGAAAAAGAGAAAGTTTGCGTTTTGGACGTCGTCCTGCTTCATCGTTTGTACAACAATTACTCAAATCAAGGTAGGTGTTTATTTTGAAAGATTTTGATTTTGATCGTCTGATTTCTTTTAAATCAAATTTATTACATTTTCTCTAGATATGGTGAATTTCACCCACACAATTTTTTATATGTTACAATACTTATTATTTTGAACATTTTGACTTGTTGATTGTGTGATTTTGCTGGATAAAATGAAAGTTACAATAATTTGTATTATTATAAAATAAATTTTGTTGGCATTTTTAATATAAGCATAATGATAATATAAACATTGTGAAATGAATTTTAGCATGCGATTGGATAATAATTAGTTACTATTACTGTTATAATACTGTGATAATAATAATGTGTGAAAACAAGCAAATTCTATTGAATTAATAATGTTGGGTAAAGATTTTTTCACTTGTATAAGATGATGGTTGATGGGATTTCCTTAAAATACCATGGTTGGCTTTCTTTTAAATATTGTGGTTTGGTGTCATCATCTACTAATTCATGTGATTCACTGATTGCGAGTTATAAGGAGCAATTACTATGCCGAAGGACAAAGAGAAATGATTATGTTTATTGAGCCAACAATTATTAACTTACTAACTATTAACTACTAGAAAAATACCGGGCAAGCTAGAACTTCTTATTTATTTAGTATGATTACTAAATTAAATATTATTATTGTTACTATTTACTGATTCACTGTTATCAATTATGTGATATATTGAATATATGATAATGATAATAATATATAATAGTTGGATAGCATGCGTATATTATTATATGATCTTATTATATTAATATGGTCTTGATGGTTTTCACTTGGGCTTTGACTTTTATCGATTTATATGATTTTCGTACTAATTAAATACTACTACTACGATGATTGTTTTATTGATTTTACACTCATACTAGTTTATTGGATTCCAAATTATATTGTTTATTGGTTTACATACCACATCGTTATACTATTCATAGATTTTACTACTAATGCATGCGATTTATTATTTCAATACATATTCATGATTATATTGGCTGTTGTTATTATGAATTGATTGATGACATACATATTATTTATTTACGATGCTTGTAGTTTAGTTGTAAGATATAATGACTTGCTGAGCTATCTTGTATATTATATGTGGTTTAAATGATTTCATGCCAGGAAAGAGGATCAAGAGTGTGAGATGGGGGTTAGTTATAGGGTTCCTTCAAAATTTTCTATTATTTTGTTTAGTTATTCTTTTATAGTAAGGAGCATATAGATTGTATGATGTGATTGTATAACTCATGACTATTGCTGCATCCTGGAGTATTCGCGGTGGTAGAGAAATTCATAGTTTAACGTCTTAGCATTGTATGAAGATCTAGCACACAATCAGATAAGTAAGAGTGTGTAACATTCATACGAGGCACCCGAGTTTTTACGTGGAAACCCCTGAAAAATGGGAGGGGGGGGGACCACGGAGCCTGACCCAGTTTGAATAAATCCACTAGTATTAGTTGTCGATTACAAATGAGGCCCTTCTTATGGAGAAGATCTTGGCCTGATGTTACAAATGTACGTCATATAGAGCGCATTACATGGTGGGAGTTACAATAATCAACATAAACATGTTTGTTTAGTCGGAAAGACCATTGGAGGTGACGGAAGTCGGAAGGACCGTAGTTCGCAGGAGACAGAGGTCAGAAAGCCCGTTTATTTGGCAATGCAGGTCGGAATGACCGCAGTAGGCGATGGAGGTCGTAAGGACTATAGTCGGCAGGAGACCGGGGTCCGAAAGACCTTATTTGGTAGGTGAACGGGGTTAGAAAGACCGTTGTCTGTTGATGAAGGTCGGAAGGACCATAGTAGGCGATGGAGGTCGGGAGGACCATAGTTGACAGGAGACTGGGGTCTGATAGACCGTAGTAGGAGGGCGATACTTCAATAGAAGTTCAGGTGTCAGGTGGTGGCCTAGTGGAGCTCAGAGCCTTGAGTGGTGGTCTGGAGGAAGCCCGGGCCTCAAGTGGTTTTTCGGTGGAAGTCAGGTCCTTAGGTGGTTGCCTGGTGGAGCGCAGGGCCTTGAGTAGTGGTCTGGAGGAAGTTCGGGCCTCAGGTGGTGGTCCGGTGGAATCCGGGCCTCAAGTGGTTGTCCGGTGGAAGTCCGGGCCTTAGGTGGTTGCCTGGTGGAGCGCAGAGCCTTAAGTGGTGGTCCGGAAGAAATCCGGGCCTCAGGTGGTGGTACGGCGGAGCAACGGTGTCAGGCGGTGGTCCGGCGGAGTCCGGGCCTCAAGTGGTGGTCCGGTGGAGCACAGGGCGTCAGGCGGTGGTCCGGCATAGGTGAGGGCCTCAAGTGGTGGTCCGACGGAGCAACGACGTCATACGGTGGTCCGGCGGAGGTGAGGGCTCCAAGTGGTGGTCCGACGGAGGAACGACGTCAAGTGGTGGTCGAGGAGGAAAGGAAGCAAGAGCGATCTCCGATCTCTCACTTTTTTCCTTAGGCTTAGGGGTCCCTTTTCAAGAGGAGAGGGAGCTCTATTTATAGATTTCTGGAGTAGCATGGCCTGTAAATAGGTGAGAGATCAAGGGTAAATGGGGAGTGGTCGGATGAATGGCCGATGTTGAATCCCTTGATCATACTCCGTTCTTTAGACATTTGAAGATCTTAATGATGTTGGAATTTGGCAATCTTGGGCTTGTTGGATTCGTCTCGTCGAGCCGCTCATTCAAGTATAAGCTCGTCAAGTTTGAAAATCGTTTGGTAACCCAAATTGTGGTTCAAACCTTCCAACAACGCTTCGGGTCCTTGATTTGGACACATTTGTGCTCGGATTGAGTCGAATTTGGTGTCGTTGGGTTCGTATTTCCGAGACGCTCAGTTCGATTGTAAGTTTGCTGAAATCGGAGTTCGAATGGTCTCCGAATTAATTTTTGAAGTTTCCAACTTGATTTTGCATTGAGATTCACGCCCATTTAAGATAATTTTTTGATGACATATTAACTTATATATATATAATTTTTGGTGCAATGAATATAGATTTATATTGGTGTTTTGATTATTAAATTTGTTTATGTCGATATTATTATTGATAAAAGAAAATAGATAACTCTGATGTTGTTATATTAAAAGATAAAACAGAAATTCTTTAAACTTTGATTATGTTGCATGATACTACTCTTAATGCATTGTTATGAAGTTGGAAGAATAACATATATTGAATTTTACTATTCACTCATAGTATAACTTCAACATGTTGGTCTTAATAATCTGCATGCTATAGTGGCTCTTATGAGAATAAAGGTTGACATTATCTAATATTCTAACCAGAAAAAAATACTTCAATCTAGAATATACTCTCCATCTATATAGATTGCTAATGTCTAAGAAACTATCTAATAAAATATTTTATTCTTCAAACAAATGTACCCGTTACCTTAATCATATAAAATACTGAGTCGAATAAAATGCAAGGAAGGAGATTAAGGCTTCGTTTGGGACGGCTTTTTTATTGCTTCTTAAAGAAGCTTTTTAGTTCAAAAATTTTAATTTTTGAACTAGAAAGTTGATTTAAGAAGCGGTAAGAAAGCCGTCCCAAACGAAGTCTAAGACTTCGTTTGAGACGACTTTTTTATTGCTTCTTAAAATGAATTTTTAGTAAAAAAATTAAAATTTTATACTAAAATCCTGATTTAAGAAGCAGTAAGAAAGTCATCCCAAACAAATCTTAAGGCTTCGTTGGGACGGCTTTTTTATTGCTTTCTAAAACAGAGTTTTAATAAAAAATAAAAAAAAATTATACTAAAATTCTGTTTTAGAAAGCAATAAAAAAACCGTCCCAAAAAAAAAAAAAGCCTTTATAATCTCTTCTAGTAGCTTGATGGGTTCAATTTGAAAAAGCAACTTTATGTACAACAATTTCATAACCTGCTTTATCTACAGCTGCAGCCGTCCCAAACCCAAAAACCCCAATGGCAATTCGGTCAAAAGCTTCTTTGGAACGATCTCCTCCTCTCATCTCCCAAAGTCCAGATAAGAGCTCGCTCACTCGCTTACGCCCTCTCCTCTGCTCTTCCTCTCTTCCTTTCTTCCTCCAAATTCAATACTCGGACCTTTCTTCCTAATTTCCATGGCCTCCATAAACTTCGTCGGCACTGCGCCAGCTTCCACCTCCTCAAAAACCTACTTTCCTATCTCTTCTTCGTCATCTTCCTCGCCCTCATATCATCGACCCGCGGCGGCCCTGCCGTCTTCCTGGTCGCTGGGCGGCGCTGGGCTCGAGGCGTCTAGATTTGCATCTAGATCTCAGCTCCATCTCCATCGAGGCGGTGGCCTCCTTGTGGTGCGCGCGGCCCGTGGCAAGTTCGAGCGGAAGAAGCCGCACGTTAACATCGGTACCATCGGGCATGTAGACCACGGGAAGACCACCCTAACAGCGGCGCTCACAATGGCCCTTGCTTCCCTCGGAGGAAGCGCCCCAAAAAAGTACGACGAGATCGACGCCGCCCCGGAGGAACGCGCCCGTGGCATCACCATCAACACTGCCACCGTCGAGTACGAGACGGAGAACCGACATTACGCCCACGTTGATTGCCCTGGACATGCTGACTATGTAAAGAACATGATAACGGGCGCCGCCCAGATGGACGGTGCCATCCTCGTAGTATCCGGTGCTGACGGCCCCATGCCCCAAACCAAGGAGCACATCCTCCTCGCCAAACAGGTTGGCGTACCCAACATGGTCGTATTTCTTAACAAGCAGGACCAGGTCGACGATGAAGAGCTCCTCCAGCTCGTTGAGCTCGAGGTTCGTGAGCTCCTCTCCTCGTACGAGTTCCCCGGTGACGACGTCCCGATCATCTCTGGATCTGCTCTCCTTGCGCTCGAAGCACTTATGGCTAACCCTAAAATCAAGCGTGGGGACAACGAGTGGGTCGACAAGATCTACGAGCTAATGGACGCTGTTGACGATTACATCCCTATTCCCCAGCGCCAGACCGACCTTCCTTTCCTCCTAGCCGTTGAAGACGTCTTCTCCATCACTGGGCGCGGCACTGTCGCCACCGGGCGTGTCGAGCGCGGCACTGTCAAGGTCGGTGAAACCGTCGACATTGTTGGGCTTCGGGAGACTAGGAATACTACCGTCACTGGAGTGGAGATGTTTCAGAAGATACTTGACGAGGCCCTTGCTGGTGATAATGTGGGGCTTCTTCTCCGTGGAATTCAGAAGGCAGATATACAGCGTGGGATGGTTCTTGCTAAGCCTGGAACCATTACTCCGCACACAAAGTTTCTGGCTATTGTCTATGTGTTGAAGAAGGAGGAGGGCGGCCGACACTCTCCGTTTTTTCCTGGGTATCGACCACAGTTCTACATGAGGACTACTGATGTCACTGGGAAGGTCACGGGCATCATGAATGATAAGGATGAAGAGTCAAAGATGGTCATGCCGGGAGACCGGGTGAAGATAGTCGTGGAACTCATAATGCCTGTGGCGTGTGAGCAGGGGATGCGGTTTGCCATCAGGGAGGGCGGCAAGACTGTTGGGGCTGGTGTTATTCAGACTATTATTGAGTAAAGGGGTTTTTCTACTGAATTATTTCAGTTATGCAAGGGAAGCTTCTTGACTTTAGATAAGCCCCATGCCATATTAGGTGGAAAATTATACAAATTCAGGTTTCAACATCTCATGACTTGCCACTGTCATATATTTTTTAGCCTTTTATTTTTTCTTCCTTGAAACTTTGATATTTTCATCTTTTGATGAGGTATTGCTCTGTAAACTTGTAGTTTCCAAAGTATGTTATTGCTTGTTATTTATTTTGCCTGCTTTTACTTGAATTTTCATTCGTTGAGTGCAGACATTCGGTCCACAGTAGAGTAGAAGATGATGTTTTATCATGTGTGGAGTCAAGAAAACTTGTTTTCTTGGGTCCCTTATCCTTCTAACGGTATGATACATATTACACTGTTATTAAAAGTTTAACTTCATCAAATGATAATGCAATTATTAACTTTATGTGTTTTTGGAATAGTTTTTCATATTACTTGAGCTTTGACGTCTTTGCTTTTTGTTGCATTTTGCCCGGTTCCTCATCTTAGTTGTTTTTGTTAATAATGATTGTACTCAAGTTTCCAAAGATGATTTGTCTCATGCTAATTATTTTTTTTTTGGTCACTGTTCTTCAAGTTATATGCTTCAAACTCTTAGTTTTGAGTTTGTTTCTTAATGAAAAAGTCAATTATGGTTTTATTCCATCATCATGAAAATGTATAAACTACTGGTTAATTGCAGATGACATCTCTTTCTTAAGCTTAGTTTGACTATTTTTGCCCAAGACGAGCTATTGCTAATTTTGGAGCTCAATTAATGTTCTATGAATAAATGTCTTATACTAATGGGTGGAGGGAGAATTCCAACCTACCTTGTTTATTAAATGAGTCAATAATCCTTACCTCAACCCAACTCAACGTAACTCAAGTCCGACTCGACACAAGATAAAAAACATTAAAATATGACTGGTTATTATTAACTTGAACTAAAATGAACATGATAACTCAATTTGGACATGACAACTTAGAACACATAACAAATAAATTTTATTTTATATGCGTTTTCAAGGAAAAAAATGAATTAAATATCTAAGTCAGTTTTTAGGGTTGGGGGGCATCCAAAACCAACTCATTTATTGGGTTAATAATCGCAACTCCAACCCGATTTGATGTAACCCAAACTGATATTGTAAAACATGAAAATCCTCTACTTTGTGATGGGTTATTGTTAACACAACCAAAAATGAACACGATAACTCGATTTGGACAAGACAACTAAAAAAAAAGGATTGGAAATTTATGTGAGGATTTTATAAAAAAAAAAAACGAATTAAATAGCAAAGTTATTTTTTGGGCTAGCTTGAATCTAAATTGTTTTTCTTAAACTCACTTATGTTGGCTCAAATCCGACTCGATTATTATATGGGTTGACCCAAGTACAGATTTTTTATGATGCTTTTTTGTGTCGGGTCCAATATCGACACACATAGTCCTTATATTAAGGATATTTTGGAGATTTCAAAACTAATTTCGGTTGACTTAGATATTTATTAGAAAAAAGGGTTTCGTTATTAGGGTTTCATCACAATAGAGATTTAAAAAAGGAAAATCTAGATGTGGCACGAATATGTGAATTTCTTTTATAAAACCTCATCATCATCATAATAATGGAAATTATAACAATAACAATTTGATTAACCTATGTAAAGATTCTTTGTTTTTTGTGTGTTTGTTTGCTTCTATTTATTTGATTTTAATTAGTTTGAAAACTTAATTTTTTGATTGAGAGTTATGCCTGCAGAAGAAGTATTGACATGGGAATCATCGAGTTTTATTGAATGGACTTTGCGTAACGGTTTCTACAGACAAAGATTCATCATGTAGCAACAAGATGCATTTGCCGTTAGGCAAGAAGCTTTAAACTATGAAGATTGAAGGATGATAAAGAATACGGCTTGCACCATGGAGACAAAGATGACAATTGCAGGTTTGATGGAGATTCTATCATATATATATGCATGTATAATGAAAAAATAATTTAATCTAAAGATTGAAGGTCTTTCACTGGTGGCTCGCCTAAATAATTTGAATACAATCATTAATTAATTGGTCTAATTGGAGATTAAATTTGATGATGGGGTATGTGCTCTAATTATGTTGGTTTTATTGCCTTATGGTTGTGAAATTATAAAAGCTTCTATGAGAGAAATTCTATAGGGAAAGAAAAACTATAGTTTGACGATGTCTTGAATAATATTCTTGTGGAGGAGGTTTAAAGGAGATATTATGGGGAAGACTCATCATTTGATTTTGCTTCGAATGTTGATAATAGGAGTAGAAAGAAGTTTTGAGAGGAACCAACAAAGGTAATCATAATAGGGAAAAGTCGAATAATAACGTGCAAGTCCATGAATGGATGACATGTGGATGTTGGAATTATGACAAGATTAGTCACCAGAGCGAAAATTGAAGAGCACTTAGGAAGGATAATGATGCTAGAAACACAATCACTAAAGATGCATGTGATCCTTTAATTTTGTTTGTTGATAATTTTATTGACTCTTTGGTGTATTAAGTACTTCATAATATTAGAGGAATATGTTGTTGGAAATCATGAAATGTTCATTTGTTTGATGGTGAACGTTTGCATGTGCTATTGGTGTTGATGATTTTAGATTAGGTCGGTTTACAAAGTCACTGAGGGAGACATGTGCCTACGTTGATGCGCAATTTGAAGACAAAGGAGATAATATAACTTTTAGTAGTGTTACTTTGAAAGTCATTACGGAAGCCATGGTGGATGCTCGAGAAAAGTAAACTGGAATTATTTGCAACTCTTTAAATTGCATAGATATGACTGTAATTTGCTAATTTCACTATCAATTTTGACTTACGGCGCTATAGGCTCGAGCATCTAAGTCATAAGGGAACTAAAATGCTTTATTCAAAAGAGAGGCTACCAAATTTAAAGACTATTGAGCACAACTTGTGTTATGGTTGTATCTTTGAAAAGTAGGAAAAAAAAAAACACGTGAGCTTTATCAAAGGAGAGACAGAGCTTAATGTAGGAAAGCTAGAGTTGGTGCAAATAATTCTGTGAGGGTTGTCTATAATTACATTTCTTGTAGGTTCAAACCTTTATGTGACGTTTGTAGATGACTCAAGCATGATGGTATGGGTTTACTTTCGTAAAAGTATGTCTAACGTGTGGTGCCTTTAAAAGGTGGATTTTTGATAAATAACAAAACTATTTGAAGGTGAAGTATTTATAGCTTAGGAGAATATATGGATGATGATTTTAAGTATTACTATGAGGATAATGACTTAGGGATAAACAAAACGATTCCCAAAAATGATGAGGACATCGTCAGCATTTTCGACGCCGGAGATCGACGGCTACGAGCATGACTTGTATTTTGTCATTTTATGTAGTAGCGTATTTTATTTTGATGTTTTTTCCGCTTTTGCCCTTATGGGCATTTAGTCGCTTATGAAAATCTTCAAAAGAATGGTGTTGCCGAGTAGATGAATTAAATATTGAATGAGCATGACATTGCATGTTAGGGTATCAAAAATGTTTTGGGATGTGGCTATTAGCATTGTAACATACTTGATCAATAGTGTTCCCTCAATGCGGTTGAATTTTAGAATATGAGAGGAGGTTTTGTAGCGACAACGAGGTCAAGCTATTTTTTTTTTCTTGAAAGTGTTTTGTGCTTATATTATGTGTATATTGATTTTGTTGTTATAAGTAAACTTTTTTTTTTTTTTTTTTTTTAAGTAAACTTTTTTTTTTTTTGTTATAAGTAAACTTGATACTAAATCCAAGATATGCTTCTTTACTGGCTATGGTGACACTAAATTTTGTCATTGTTTATGGGATGATTCAAATTGGAAGGTTATTAAGAGCAAGGATTTGATCTTCAATGAAGATATCATGTATAAAGATAGGTTAAAAGTAGATGTTGAAAGCTCTGAAGCCGAGTGTGATCCCATTGAAAGACATTTCTGTAGTTGATGTTGAAATATAGAGCAAGAGAGCATAACCTATTAAGGTCTTAAAACTCATGTTGCTATAATCATGAGCTTTAATAAAACTATCATACTACTATAGAGATACTCACCTGCACTACGCTATTTGTTACATGATGGTAGTGAACCCAAGAATTGTGATAAAGCGATGACAAATGAAAAATTAGTTAAGTAGGAGTTGAGATCATGAGGGATGAGATGGATTCGCTGTTAACTAATCAAACATGATGGTTAACAAAATTATCGAAGGGAAAGAAAGCCTTGTAGAAAGTGAGTGTACCGAATTAAAGAAGAGCATGATGACTGCAAGTAATACTAGGCAAGGTTAGTTGTTACCACAAAACGAAGGCATTGACCACACAAAAATAATCTCTCTAGTGGTGAAATAAATTACAATTAGAATGGTATTTGCACTAGTGATGAAAGGAGGATTATAATTGGAGCAATTGGATGTGAGGCAACCTTTCTTTATTATGATGATTTGGAGGAACAGATTTATAGATGAAACTATAAAAAATAGTAGTATAGTGGAAGGAGAGAATGATATGGGAATTTACATTTAGAAGCACTACAAGGCAAGGTTAAGTTTTAAGGCTTTCAATAAAAAGAAAAATGTTCTACCAGTGATGAAATAAATCATAATTAGAATGGTGTTTGCACTAGCGGTGAAAGAAGACTTACATTTGGAGCAGTTGAATATGAGATTATCTTTTGTTATGGTGAATCTTTTGTTATGGTGATTTGTTGGAAGAAATTTTCATGATGCAATCAATAAGACTAATAGTGCGGATGAAGGAGAGAAATGTATGCAAATTTTAGATGAACTTGTATGGCCTTAAATAAACTCTTAGATAGTGGTGCAAAAAAGTGATTATTTCATAGAAATCAATTGTTTCTTGAGGTGTTCTATAGTCACTATTTCTATGTGAAAACTTTTGGTAATTCCTGTGCCATTTTATGATTATATTGATGATATGTTGGTAGCAGGTGAGAGCAAATAAGAAATGGACAATTTGAAAAAGATATCGTCCGAGTAGTTTGTTACAAATGATTTATGTGCTACTAAATAAATTCATGTGATGAGAATTATAATGGAAAATGTTTTTTTGAAGTCATTACAGGAAGACTATGTGAAGAATATTCATAATGACAAACCTGTAAAAACCCCTTTGTGTTATCACTTTAAGCTTTCAAAGGAACAAATGCTTTTGTTGAAGGGACGTATCCATACGAAAAATGCAACAGAAACTTCAATCATTTGTAGTCTTATTTATG